TCTCCTTCTTACATATTCTCTCTCTCTCTCCTCTAATAAATAAAATAAATCTCTTAGAAAAAGAAAAGCGCAACCTCAAGGAATGCCTCATTCTTATGCTAGTCCACACTCAACCTTGAAAAATTCATCAAAATTATCATCTAAGTGTACCTACCAGCTTTTTTTCCAGGTAAGATCTCATCTGTGACTGAGTTTACCTCTTCCTCCAGATTTCAGGGTAGTGGTTTGCTCCTCAACATCAGTTCTATGATAGGTTAGAAAAAATGATGATTGTGTTTCAGTTTATTCTGTTTTTTTTTTTTTTTACTCTTGTAATAACAAATGTTGACATCCAAGCTCTTTACATGTCAGAACTAAAACTACAAAGTTCAGAAATTATTTACTAAGCACTGACTACACTATGCAAAATCCTTTATGAACTTCTGTCCCTTTTTTCTACCAATAACAATATGGTTCCCTGCTGCAACCTGGTATACAGCCACCATTGTGCCTTGCTGCAACCATTGGAAGATCCCTGGGTGATTCTTCCTTGTTATGGGGAGATTTTAATTCCTTAGTTGCACTATTTTTTGTCATAACTTTTACACATTTTGAAATCCATGTCTGTGAGACTTCCAAAATCTCATCCTTTAAATTCCTTGACCTCTACCCGCTCCACAGTTAACCATACCCTTCCTGTCTCAGCTCCCAGTTCCAAACCAATTGCATGTTTCCCATTACAAATAACTGAATCCCTTCATGATCTCAGTTACAAACATATCATGTTCTAACTGCCACCTTGCATCTCTCCAGCTGAATCCCTCCAAAACTTCTACTCCATAGAGTCTTTAGTGGTAACAGATGTACGATACATTAATTCTACTTTGATTGTCCCTTGCCACCTTCACAATCCACTTTCTTCCACACCCATATTCTATCATTATAAGCATGCCCATGAAAATAGCCACAAATCCTTTTCTTCTTCATTATACTTTCCTACTACAATTCCTCTCTCATGAAATAGTACCTACTCTCAGGGGCCAGCGATGTGGCTCACTTGTTAACCCTCTGCCTACGGCGCCAGCATTCCATATGGGCACCAGGTTCTAGTCCTGGCTGCTCCTCTTCCAGCCCAGCTCTCTGCTGTGGCCCAGGAGGGGAGTGGAGGATGGCCCAAGTGCTTGGACCCCTGCACCCACATGGGAGGCTGGGAGGAGGCACCTGGTTCCTGGCTTCAGATCAGTGCAGCGCTGGCTGTGGCGGCCATTTGGGGGTGAACCAGCAGATGGAAGACCTTTCTCTCTGTCTCTCTCTCACTCTATGTCAAATAAATAAAAAAAGAAATAGTACCTACTCCTAACCTGTACCTGTGAAGGTGGAAAGTGATGAGTAAAAATAACCAACCTTTCTGACTGCTCATACACTAAAGATGTGTAAACTACTCCTTAATGCTACTTGGAAATCCAATTGTACTTTCTAGTTCATTCACTTGCTCATTCTGCTAAACCCTTTTCTGTAGTTTGTCTTTCCCCAAACCATCAACACTTTCACAGTCCTCCTGATCCTCAGATGATGGAAACAGCTTCTGCTTCTATTTCAAGAGGAAAAAACTATCAACAGAAAGTTGCCATTCTCTCTCACCATTCCGTCTATCCACTTACCCTGAAATGGTGTCCAAATTTTCTGCTTTCAAGGTTCTTGTATCTAACTTAGCTTGCCCATATATATGTACCTAATTACAGGGCACCTGACTATTTAAAAGAAATGTTAAAGGAACTAAAGGGAGACCTAGATGCCAATACAATAGTAATGGAGGGCTACAATATCCCACTTCCTGCAATGGACAGATCAATCAAACAGAAACTCAGCAACTAAACAAATGTTATCAACACTACAGATAGACCAAATGGACCTAATGGTTATCTATAGAACTTTTCATCCTACAGCCCGAGGAATACATATTCTTCTCACCGGTGCATGGAACTTTCTCTAGGATTGACCACAAGGTAGGCCAAAGTAAGTCTCAGCAAATTAAAAAAAAAAAGTCAAAATCATAACATGCATCTTCTTGGGCCACAATGGAATGAAGCTGGAAATCAGCAACTCAGGAATCTCTAGAACATATGGAAACACATGAAGACTGAACAACATCCTCCTACACAAACAGTGGGTGACTGAAGAAATCATAAGAGAAATCAAAAAAGTCTGGAAATAATGAAGATGATAATACAACATATCAAAATTTATAGGATACAGCAAAAGCAATGTTAAGAGGAAAGTTTATAGAAATTGGTGCCTACATCAAGAAATTGGAAAGCCACCAAATAAATGAGCTATCAATGCATCTCAGGATCTAGAAAAACAACAAACCAAACCCAAAACTAGTAGGAGAAAAGAAATAATTAAAATTAGAGAAGAAATAAACAAAATTGAAACCAGAAAATATAAAAGATTAGCAAAATGAAGAACTGGTATTTAAAAAAAAAACAAAATTGACATACCATTGACAAAACTAACCAAAAAAAGGAAAGAGAAGACCAAAATTAATAAAATTAGAGATGAAAAAACAAATGTAACAGACCCATAGTGAAGATGGAAGTTGACTCAGTAATAAGGACCCTACCAACAAAGAAAAGCCCAAGAACAGATAGCTTCACTGCTGAGTTCTACCAGACATCTAAAGAACTAACTCCACCTCTTCTCAAGTTATTCAAAACAACTGAAAGGGAAAGAATTCTCCCAAATTCTTTCTATGAAGCCAGCATCACCATAATTCCTAAACGTGAAAAAGATGCAACAAAGAGAACTATAGACTAATTTCCCTGATGAACATAGACACAAAAATCCTTAACAAATTCTAGCTAATTGAATCCAACAACACATCAGAAAAATCATTCATCCAGACCAAGTGGGATTTATCCCTGGTATGCAAGGATGGTTCAACATTCGCAAATCAATTAAAGTAATACATTACATTAACAACATGAAGAACAAAAACCATATGATTATCTCAATAGATAGAAAGCATTTGATAAAATACAACACCCTTTCATGATGAAAACTCTAAGCATAGAAGGCATAGAAGGAACATTCCTCAACAGAATCAAGGCAATTTATGACAAAACCAAAATATTGGCCAGAATCCTACTGAATGGGGGAAAAGTTAGAAGCATTTCCACTGACATCTGGAACCAGACAAGAATGCCCACTCTCAACACGGCTATTGAATATAGTCCTGAAAGTTCTAGCCAGAGCCATTAGGCAAGAAAAAGAAATAAAAGGGATACAAATTAAGAAAGACAAAGTTAAACTATCCCTATTTGCAGATGACATGATTCTATATATAGGGGATCCAAAAGACTCCACTAAGAGACTATTAGAACTCATAGAAAGTTTGGTAAAGTAACAGGATATAAAATCAAGATAAAAATCAACAGCCTTTGTATACACAGACAATGCCAAGGCTGAGAAACAACTTCTAAGATCAATCCCATTCACAATAGCTACTAAAAAAATCATACTGTCTTCTATAGTGGCTTTACCAGTTTACTTTCCCACCAACAGTGGATTAGGGTACCTTTTTCCCTACATCCTTGCCAGCATTTGTTATTTGTTGATTCTGTATGAAATCCATTCTAACTGAGGTGAGGTGAAACTTCATTGTGGTTTTGATTTGCATTTTTTTGAAAGCTAGTGATCCTGAAGATTTTTTCATGTGTCTGTTGGCCATTTGATTTTCTCTTTTGAAAAATGTCTGCACCCCCATGAATATTGCAGCTAATTTCATAATAGTTAAGACATGGAATCAACTCAAATGACTGTCATCTAGAGACTGGATAAAGAAATTATGGGATATGTACACTGTGGAATACTACATAGTGGTAAAAAATGAAATCCAGTCATTTTCAACAAAACAGATGAATCTGGAAAGCATCATACTGAGTGAAATAAGCCAGTCCCAAAGGGACAAATAGCATATGTTTTCCCTGATCTGTGATAACTTATAGAGCACCTAAAAGGCAGTCTGTAGAAGTGAAATTGACACTTTGACATACAATGACTTGAATAGCCCTTGTCTTGACTGTTGAGGAAGAACTTTTTTTTTTCCATACTATCTGTTGAACCTTTTACTTAACACAGAGTTAATCATATGTGTATAAAATGAATTGAAAATAGAACTCAGTAAAAAATAAAGGTGGCGGCCGGCGCCGCAGCTCACTAGGCTAACCCTCCACCTAGCGGCGCCGGCACACCGGGTTTTAGTCCCGGTTGGGGCGCCGGATTCTGTCCCGGTTGCCCCTCTTCCAGGCCAGCTCTCTGCTGTGGCCAGGGAGTGCAGTGGAGGATGGCCCAAGTGCTTGGGCCCTGCACCCCATGGGAGACCAGGAGAAGCACCTGGCTCCTGCCTTTGTATCAGCATGGTGCGCCGGCTGCAGCGCGCCAGCCGTGGCGGCCATTGGAGGGTGAACCAATGGCAAAAGGAAGACCTTTCTCTCTGTCTCTCTCTCACTATCCACTCTGCCTGTCAAAAAATAAATAAATAAATAAAGGTGGTAATAATGGAGGGAGGAATAAGAGAGGTGTGAGTATTGGTGGGAGGGTGGGCATGGTGGGAAGAATCACCATGTTCCTCAAGTTGTAATTATGAAGTGCATGAAGTTTGTAATTGTAAAGCTGTATAGTTCTTCATATATTCCTATGGACTTATTTCTAAGGGTACAGTTAAACAACTTGCTATGGGACCCAAGACCCCATAATCTAGGTGGTTAAAAATACCATCTTAAGTGTTAAAGTGATCATATGGATAGGATTAAGTGTTAAAGTTATATTATATATAGGATTAAGAGTTAATGTGAACATATAAATATGATTAAGTATCTGATAATAATAATAGAATAATAGGATTAAAAAGGAGTGAATGCTCCGACATTGGAAGCAGTCCACACAGCAGACTCACAAAAGCACAATTGCTCTAAGTAGCATTATGACCTCAGAATCAGTCCTTAAGGCATTCTGATCTAGTTGAAAACCCCACAAGAACATGACAGCATGGAAAGCCAGGACACTGTGGCAATAAATGTCCTACATGAAGGAACTTGGTAGGTGAGACCCCAGTGGAAAGAAGTGGTCATCAAACAAGGAGACACTTCTCTCTGCAGGCAGGAAAGAATCTCTAATTTGCTTATGGCCTTGTCTAAATACTGATGGATGGAGTTTGCAGATTCAAAAGGCTTCCATAGCCTAAGCAGCTTATATCAAGAGCTTTGGGTGATCACTGATGTCACACATAAGAGTGATAATTATTAAATCAACAACAGGAGACACTGTGCACTAACTTCCCATGCAGGACCTCTGTCCTCAATGAGTTGTATTATGAGAGTTAACAGTAAAACTTGTTCTCAAACATTTATATCATTTTAGTTTATTAAGTGGAAAATATCCTTATGTTTCATAAGTTTTAGTTATGTGTAAGTGTCCAACTCCATTGCTTGTTTTCTTAGGTGTTTCCTTAATTAATGATAAAACTTCTCAAGCACTTACTTTCTTTTAATGTATTAAATGGAGGATATTCTTAAGTCTCGTAAGTTACAGTTATGTCTAAGTGCTCGCAAAAGATGCATCATCTTGGATACTTCTTTAATGCTAATTAAATTTCTAAAAAAAGAGTGAAATTAACTTGGAGATGCAATGATTTTGAACAGCTCTCGTCTCGACTATTCAGGAACAGTTTGTTTTGCTTTCTTTCAAATTGTTGAACACTTTACTTAGTATGGAGTTGGTTTTCTGTGTATAAAATTAATTGAAAATGGATCTTACTGGGTAATGGGACTGGGAATGGGAGAGGAAGGTGGAGGAGGAGTGGGAGTGTGGGTGGGAGAGTGGGTATGGGGAAGAATCACTATATTCCTAAAGTTGTACTTATGGAATGTGTGAAGTTTGTATTCCTTAAATAAAAGGTTTCTTTGGGGGAAATGTGCACAGAGGACAAAAAAATCATTTATCTGTACACTCATATGCATTTCTTGGTATGTGTACTGTATTTAAATAAAATGTTTAAACAATCCAGAAAAAAAAAAAAGAAAGAAAGAAAGCATGCGTCTAGTATTGACCCCGCTATCTCATTTATTTAGGTCTACTTTTCAATGCAACTTTTTGAATGGGGGCAATGCTAAATTTAAGAACTGTCAAAAGGATAAGAATTATAAATATGAACAAAGCTGTAGTGCAGCTAACTGCACCTGTTGTCTGAAATCCCACCCCCCCACCGCTCCCCTCCCTATTTCTTTCACTCTGTCTCTCTCTGCCTCTCACTAACAAACTCATTGAGGCTTTTACCTCAGCTCCAAAACCGTTCTTCCCATAATCATCACTGAACACAATGCTGTCTCATCAAATACTCAGTTCTCATTTTCTGCCCACTTTGACCTTGCAGCAACACTTAACTCTGTAAATGCCACCTCCCCATTTCAGCACTCTATTTACTTTGCAGGTAGGGTGTCCTCCTACTTGGTTTTCCGCTATTGTTTTGAGATTTCTTCTCACCCCTACATTATCAAGGAATAAGTCAGAAACATTTAATTATTTGTCACTCTGTTTAGTTAGTTTTCATGCAGAAGTTTCTGCATATGTCTGGTTGGCAGAGTAGAGAGACAGAGAAGCTGGGAAAAGTACAGAATCAAATAGTAGGTGTTTTTATACATTGGGTAAACTGATTAGTTGACAGAAAAAAAGATCAGCAGTATGTCTTTGAATAAACTGACCAGGGGTAGCAAAGAAAAAATTTCAGTTATTTGCATAGCTTCCATGAAATCTTGAGAGTTGAGCCATGGAGCGCACCTGAAAGGTTGTCACACGTACCATCTGCCCGGATCCTCGGCATCTCTACCATAATTAGACCAAATCTGTACTATTGCCCTCATTTGAATTTTTTCCTTCTCCAAAGACTTTGGGTCATCTCAAACTTCTTCTCTTTTTAACTAGTTAATAGTGGCTTCCTTAAGTCTCACATCTTTAATATCATCTAGATACTGACAATCCCACATTCCTGTATCTAATGAGCTATTTAACATCTCTTGGATATTAAAGAAGCCTCTCAATGTAACACATATCCCAAACTGGTATCTTGCCTTATACCACTCCTAAGTTGTTCCTCCCATCCTCACTGCCGTCAACAGGAACTCCATCCTTCTAAATACAAGGGTCCAACTCTCTAAAGTTATTCTTGATACTTTTCTTCATCTTACACCCCTTAGCTAACTCTTCAGCAAATTCTGTTGACTCTACCTCCAAAATATATCTGAAATGTAATCTTTTCTCTTTACTTCCTTCTAATTATCAGAAACTCTCTCCTACATTAGTACAGTAACATCCTAAATGATCTCCCTAATTCTTCCTTTTCATTTTTCTGCCAGAGTACTTTCAATTTATGATACCACTTTAAAATAATATAATGATAGTTCTTAACTCAAAGCTCTCTAGTGACTTCCCATTTCATGCATAGTAAACATCAAAGTTCCCCAACAATAACCCCTGAGTGCCTGTATTCATATGTACGCACTTATATACACACATACATCACTCTGATTATCTTCTATTTCTCATCTTCTGACTTCCCCTATTCCTGCCTCCTGGCCTACTTCTAATTTCTGCAACTCAAGCAATAAGGACCCCCATCAGATTTTACATTTCACATACACTGTTTCCTTTGTCTGGAAATCTCTTTCCTTTTATATCATATTGCTTGTACCTTCATATCTTTCAGACTCATACTCAATTTTCACTTTCATTAAAAAAACTAATACTCTCCCTCCTTTCTGCATTGTTTTATATTTTCCATTTGACTTCCTATACATCAAAATATTTATAATCAACATATACCCAGTGAAATATAAACTCCATAAGAGTGAATTTGCTTGCTTTATTTACTGTTTTATTCTTAATGCCCAGAAGACTGCCTAGACTCAGTGAGCATCAGGTACATGTTAATTGAAAGAATACTAATTTTTATAGATGAGGAAACCAAATTTTATAGGTGACACATTTAGCTTTTCCACTAGGAGTTCAAAACTGACAGAAATTGCAGAGCTTATAATTATTCACATAGTTTCATCATAACACAGTTGGAGTTAATTCTTTATGAATCTCTCATGTTTCTGCACATCTTATTAGTAAATTGTTCCCGACTGTATTTTCAAGAATATTTGTAAAGTTATCAGTTTTAGAAATTAAAATAATATCTCCCTCTAGAACAAAGGACAGGGTGCTCACTTCGGCAGCACATATACTAGAACAAGGGACAGGAATGCTTTTGCCCATTATAAAACATGTGTGTTCCCAAAGCTCAGTGTTTCTTTCTTAGGATAAAGCCTAAGGCACCAACCTGGACACATTGCATCAGCTCCAAGGAAATCTGGAGCAAGGATAACTAATGTAAATATGCTACTTGCTGTACCATAATTCACAGTCCTTTTTGTCTTTGAGCCAGCTACCTTCTGCTAGCATTCTTATAACTGAGCAGGTTAACCTGTAAGCTTAGCAGAAGATAAAAACGCAGACCTTTCATAGTTTGACAAACACTATCCTGCTGTACTCGGGTGTACCAAGGGAATCCCTGAAGTTTATAGCTCAAATTCCTAGCAATCCTAAACTTACTCAAAATATTCAATTTAATTAGCCTTTATTTAATTATCCATACCACCTATGTAGTTGGCTGTAGATGAAATGGTTAATCCTTTAGCTAAACTGGTATTTAATCCAAAATGCCAGGTAAATCCTTTAAAATCATGTTTTCCAATAGTCTGATGAAAAAAATAACAAGTTGAACATTCAAAGACTACAACTGTTTAAATTCTCAAGTACTTTTTAAAATTCATCACTCATTTGTGTGTGATTAAGGAATATTTAACCAGAAATTTTAGATATGGTATGAATATCAGTTTTCTGATATTTTTCTTGAAAATAACTTTTTTTTGGACAGGAAGAGTTAGAGAGACAGACAGACAGAGAGAAAGGTCTTTCTTCCATTGGTTCACCCCCCAAATGGTTGCTGCGGCCAGCGCTCTGCGCCTATCCAAAGCCAGGAGCCAGGTGCTTCCTCCTGGTCTCCCATGCGGGTGCAGGGCTCATACTAATTGGGAACAAATTTATAAATATGCTTCAAATGATGTCATAATTCTAGGGTGAATGTTACCCCTTTAAAGTAGGTAACTTTTACAAAATGTTCAGTCTAAAACAGAAGAAAACACTCAGTTTACATGGCAATACTATATTGTTAGTGTACTGCAATTAATAAGATAAATATTTATGCATACTTAAGCATTTAATGATTTGAATAATTATTACTATTATGTAGCCAGAAGTAAAAATGTTAGAAATCACTTTTCACTAAAATTAATAGTGCATCTGTGTTGTGCCTGTGCTTATACACATGAAACTACCAAAATGGCAGTCTCACAAGCAAAGGCTCCTTCTGCTTTAGCCATAGCTGTGTTCAAGCACCTAATATATTGAATAAATTTGAGAAGCAGCAAGTGCAAGAGAGTCCCTCTGACTTTCCCCTACTCTTTCTCCCTTCAGCAGGTCAGAAAATACAGAAAGGATTTTCTGGCCGTCCCTTGAAGCCGGTCATAAGACCATGAGGGGAAAGGCATCTTCCTCCTACCTGCAAGAAAGGAGCATCCTTATCTCTGAAGATGATGGTCACAGAGAAGAATATGAACAAACAGGCCTGGCCAAGTTTTCCCCTTTATATTACCATTGAACCATGCCCTTTTAAACCTATCCATTTCTCCACAACTCTCTAACTAAGTGAAACAATACTTTGTTTTGTCTTTGCTGAAGCAAGCATAACAATACTCAAGTTCACCTTCTTCTTCAGGCCTTCATTTCCTTATAGAGGAGCGAAACATGACATAGTTATACACAATGTCTAAATTATCTTATGAATATACTAGAAGAAGGTAGGGTCCCATGACTGTCCAGATTAAAGGATGGAAGATATCTGGTTCTAATAGAACCTTGATCCTATGTGAGAGTATGTAGGTTGGTTTCCCTTCTCATGTCATGTAAAACTGGTTATCAAATAAACCTGGATGCTTCTCTCCTGTTAATCTGTCTTTAATTAAAGGGGCCTCAGCCATAAACCTGAGATAGGTAGAGGAAAAGATAAGTTCTGCCACAAATCATATTTAATTAATATTAGTTGCAATAACTAATTAATGATTTTAACACAAAACAAGGGCAATCTGAGGAAACACGTGATTCTAAATCACATGTGATTAAATATGAAGTCTTTTTTTTTTTTTTTTTTGGACAGGCAGAGTTAGAGAGAGAAAGAGAGAAAGGTCTTCCTTTTTTCCATTGGATCACCCCCAGATGGCTGCTAGGGCCAGCACACTGTGCCAATCCAAAGCCAGGAGCTAGGTGCTTCCTCCTGGTCTCCCATGCGGGTACAGGGCCCAAGCACTTGGGCCATCCTCCACTGCCTTCCGGGGCCACAGCAGAGAGCTGGACTGGAAGAGGAGCAACCGGGACAGAATCCAGCGCCCCAACCAGGAGTAGAACCTGGGGTGCCGGCGCCACAGGCAGAGGATCAGCCAAGTGAGCCGCGGCGCTGGCTGATATGATGTCTTTCATTACCAAAGCTCTTCACACATGTAATTCACAAAGTAATTAACTGCACATATATTTATCATAAAACAGATAATTGAGTTTAGAAAAATCTTTTAATCATTCTAATAGTAATCAATGTAGTAATTTTGAATAGTTGCCTTCTTCAATTAGTGTTAATTTAGTGCATTAATATAATTCAAATATATTAATTTAAGCAACCTAGGAAATTATAAAACAGTACTGAGTTAGAAACAATAGGATAATCATGGTTCCCCACATCAGAAAGTAACTGCAATGGAAGCCTTACCACACCATTTTTTCTCCCATACCTAAAACTACATTCTTCCTGATTCCATTAGGCTCTAAAATCAAAATATGGCTGATTTCATTAGGCTCTCAAATCTAAAATGATTCTAACTTAGTGACATCACAGTGATGTTATAGCATCACAAATCAAAATGACAACCATGTTTTTTCTCTCCAGCTCATAAACTTAAAATCTTACATGATGATCAGGCGAAGCAAACCTTGGAATTCTTCAAAGTGTTTATTTTTAACAAAGTGACTATTTGATTAATTATATAGGAAGGAAATTCTGAGAACATTTAGTGAAATAGCTATTATTTCAATAAAGAACTTGTCTGTTCAGTTAAAGATATGTATTCACTTCTATCTTGACTGGATCAGAAATAATGGCTTGTCCAGTCCCAAAGGGACAAATACCATATGTTCTCCCTGATCGGTGACAACTGACTGAACACCAAAAAGTAAACCTCCTGAAGTGAAATGGACACTATGAGAAATGGTGACTTGATCAGCATAGCCCTGACTGCTAATGGACAACTTAATACATTATCCCTCATAGTATTTTTTTTTTGTCTGTTCTACTTAATATGACTGGTTTAATTCTGTAATTATCACACAGTTATTCTTAAGTGTTGAAAATTAACTGAAATGTGATCCCTGTTAAACATAAGAGTGGGAATAAGAGAGGGAAGAGATGTATAATTTGGGGCATGCTCGGGCTGACTTGCCCCAATTGGTAGAGTTGGAAACATACCAGGGGATTCCAATTCAATCCCATCAAGGTGGCATGTGCCAATGCCATCTCACTATTCCAAGTGATCAATTTCAGTTCACAATTGATCATAATGAAAGGACTAAGAGTCAAAGGGAGCACATAAACAAGTCTAGTATCTGCTAACACTAACCGATAGAATAAATAAAGGGGAGAGTGATCCAACATGGGAAGTGAGATACTCAGCAGATTCATAGAATGGCGGATGTCCTAAATAGCACTCTGGCCTCAGAATCAGCCCTAAAGGCACTCGGATCTGGCTGAAAAGCCCATGAGAGTATTTCAGGCATGGAAAGCCAAGACACTCTGGCAAAAAGATCTCTGTGAGTGAGATCCCAGTGGAAAGAACAGGTCTTCAAAGAGGGAGGTGCCTTTCTCTGAAGGGAGGAGAGAACCTCCACTTTGACTATGACCGTGTCTAAACAAGATAAGAGTCGGAGAACTCAAGGGGCTTCCATAGCCTTGGAAACTCATGACTGGTGCATAGGGAGATTACTGATGCCATAAACAGGAGTGTCAATTTGTAAAGTCAACGACAGGAGTCACTGTGCACTTACTCCTCATGTAGGATCTCTGTCCTTAATGTGCTGTACACTGAGGCTTAATGCTATAACGAGTACTCAAACAGTATATTTCACTTTGTGTTTCTATGGGGGTGCAAACGATTGAAATCTTTACTTAATGTACACTAAACTGATCTTCTGT